TCTATTTTGTATATTTTTCTAAGGTGATCACTGAGGTTAATGGTATCTCATTTCCACAAGAAAATAAAATTTTGATTGCTAAGTGAGCATGTTGTTAGGGAGAGGCAGAAGAATTTCAATAGTCCTAGTATGTACTGTATCTCATACTTACTGGAATATGTAAGGCTTAATATGTGGGCAAATCCTAACAGCCAGAATAGCAAAAGTAAGACTGAGGGTAAAATGATAGCATTCATTATGCTCCATACACCAGGCATTGTGGTGGGTGTTTTATATAATATTCTTGATTTACTGAATGAGTCCATTTAGGTTTATGGCAACAGAGACTCAGGTAGGTCAAGTAAATTGCTCAAGGTTGCCAAGCTAGTAAGCTTAGATAGTAAAATGTTGACACCAGCCTGATTCCACATTTTTCCCAATATTCACTTTGATATTTTTTAACATACAAATGATTGCAGGGTAGTAGGATTGCCACACACATATCAATAAAAAAGGATGAATATTTGAAACATAGGTTTATAAGGCCTGAAGAAAAACTAGGCTGAAATATTCAAAACTTGATTTAGAATGGCTTAAGCCTTAAGACACATGTGTCAAACACAAGGCCCTCGGGCCAAATCCATCCCGCCAGGCCTTGCAATGTGGCCCGCACAGCGCTGTCATCACTGCACTCCGCTGCGTTTCCATCACAATGACAGTTTATGACTGTTCAGTAAACCATTCGGCCAGCGATTTAGGCTGGATTTTAGATTTTGGCCCCTTCTCTGATTGAGTTCGACACCCCTACCTTAAGGGATCAACACTAAGAGAGAGCAAGGTTAGGACAGCTTCTTGATTAAATATGAAAAACCATCATACTATAGACCTTACTTAAGAATAACAAGGGAGCAAAATTCCAGTTTTAATTTAGAAATTAGAGTAAACTTCAAGAGAGTTTGATATTTGTCTATATTCATAGAACAGTGATTAGCACATAGTACGCAGTCAATAAACTTTTCCTATATAACAAAAGCCTAATATGCCAAGTGTCTGGTTGTCCAGTCGTCTGTTCAACCAATCAAAGCTAATGATATGCTAAGGCCGGTCAACCACTTGTTATGACTTGCACTGACTACCAGGGGGCAGGTGCTCTGACCATTAGGTTAGCTTGCTGCTGGGGTCTGGCCAGCAGGACTGGATGAGTTGGGCCAGACACTTACTGGAGCCCTCCCATAGTCCCTTCCCAGCTGGCCAACCTCCTGTGTCCTCCCCCGCTTTCCCTCCCCCTTGCCCCTGATCGTGCACCAGTAGGGTCCCTCAGCCTAACCTGCACCCTCTCGCAATCCGGGATCCCTCAGAGAGCCAGCTTCGGCCTAATCCCACAGGCCAGGCTGAGGGACACCACTGGTGCATGAATTCGTGCACAGGGTCTCTAGTGTTGAAATAATGGAAAAGTCATGTAAGGATTATTCTCATTTAATACCCTTGAAGGCCCTGAAATAGAAATTAAAAACAGTAGAGGAGTAAATTTGAAAAACCACTCAAATACACTCTTTAACACTGGACCTTGTGGCAAAAACTACTAAAACAGCAAACAAAAGCAATAGCTGTAAAATATTAGCATGGCTTTACAAAGAATGGTGACAAAAGAATAAAAAGACACTTTTCCTAGCACTCTGTGGTTAATGGTTAATCAAATTTCAATGAGATGGAATCCAGAATTTTGACTTACTGTTTTAATATTTTGAACTGCTGTGAGCACTGTATTCAATGACTACATTTGGAAAAGAAAATGACTATCTAATCTAAATACTCTAAAAAATGCACAATGAAATGAATAAAAAAATCTCAAATTATTAACTCTAAGATAACAGGACCAAAGGAATGAAAAATCTCAAATTAATTAACTCTAAGATAATAACAGCACACATACAGAAGCATTTTTCTAATTTTGATAGTATGTTTCTATTAGAAAATGCAATAAAAACTACATCAAGAATATTAAAAAAGAAGCCTTTAGAACAGTGTTTCCCAAAGTGTGGTATGCAAACCCCCAGAGGTACGGGAAGAGTTTGGTGGGGGTACGCGTTGCACCGGAGTTTGGTGGGGATATGCACTGCACCGTGCTTAGCTGCGCCTAATTCTACGTTCTCATGAGTATGAAGGGTACTCAGCGTTACGAAAATTATAGAAGGGGTACACATATGTCAAAAGTTTGGGAAACACTGCTTTAGAAGATAGTAAACCTCTCCACGGGTACACTTTTCCATGGACTTATTTTCTATTTTTCATAAGCTTTTCTAATATTTATCTGATGGAAACAATATATATAATAACTGCCATTTATCAAGTCTTTCAGCTGCAGCAATTTTTATTTATGTGCATTTCTTTCATGGAATAGCACAGAAACCAATTTAAAAAACTCCTTTGCTTCCCAAAGACAATTTCCAAAAGGTAATGGAAGTATAGCAGCAACCATACTTTGTTAAAACTGCTGTTTGAATCTTAACCCTGCTAAGTCTGGCTCCTGCACCTGATTACACAGAATGTTTACCTTAGCTTCCAGGTGGAGACCTGGAGGCTAAGGCAATTTTCCCTTGCCTGGGACCAGGACCACAGGAGATAGAAACTGGAGATTAACCACTGAGTTCTGCTTCTGCAAGATAGGACCACATTCCAATGTCCAGCAGGATGTGACTGGGAACGACCCTGCGGGCTGACCCCAGTTTTTAGAATATAGTCTTTAGGATTTGGAATTTAGAACAAAGAAAAATTCCTGTGGTTTGAACTGTTGCAGAGTTCCCAAGAGGTCGAACGGTGTGCAGGGGAAGAGTTTGGAGAGACTTGCTCTGTTCATCGCGAGATGGGCTTATGGAGGATGAATTCAAATTCTATAATAAGAAAGGTTACAGGCAGAACTTACTTTTCTTTATTAAAGAGCCAGCCCTATGTGCACTTAGTGGTTATCTCGATGCTGGCCTTAAAAACAATACAGTTCTATCCAAATGAAAAAATGCACCTGGCATGGTATTGAGATTGTAGGCATATCTGGTCTCTGGCCTACAAGGTCAGACAACTAAGTTTATCTTCATCATTCTTCAAACGGGCTAAAGCAAACTAGAAAGCAACATTTTATCTAGGAAGAACAGCAGAAAATTCCAAACAACAGTTTGTTGCAAAATAGGGGTTTTCCTTCTCAGAACCTTTAAAAAGAAGCAGTGCAGTCATGTGGAGTCCGCCTGCGTGTGGTGCTCTTGCGGCTGTCCTGGCCAGATATTTCAATAAATCTTTGCCTGCTTTTTTTTTTTTTTTTTTTTTAATAAATCATTAGCCTCCAGTGGTCTTATTTTGAACCTAGGGTTCGACCCCACAACAGTAATACCAATGTATCTCAATCAAAACTTTAATATCTTTATCTTTTCAAGTTAGCTCCAAAATCTTTACTTACTTCAATAATCCCTAATATTATAGTTTACTTTGTCAGAATGATCATATATTACACTAATAAAGAAGAAAGTGAACACATTCTCTCTAATCAATTAATTAATTAATTAATACTTGCTTGAGGCAAACATTATAATAATAGACATTGTTTTGTCTCACCTTTTCAACTACTTGGAGAAATTTTGTACTCTTTAAAAAGATAATTCTTTGATTTTAGGGTTTGAGATCTTTTATGTTTACAGAAGGCTAACATATATTTTTCCTTTTACTGTAACATTTAGCTTAAAACATGTTTTCTAATAAACTCTAAACCAAATAACTTTAAAGGAACTAGAATTAAAATAATTGCAAATTCTGAGGATAAATTAGATACAAATCCAAAAGGAGAATATACACAGGCTTTATTCTTTTAAAAATCCTTGAAGGACATTACAGTTCATTTGACAGATATTCTAAAATTACTAAAGTTGAGATTTCCTAAGCTCTATATTGATTGATTCCTTCCACACACTCAAGTATTGTGGTACTTGAAAATAAGCCACAGGATCAAAATTGTTGAGTGTTTATTACCACTTTGCATATAGTTTCTTATAAAACAATGAGAATACAAGAAAAATAGTTGTATTCACCTTTTGTCCATTGTGAGCCAATCCCCCTGCCTTTAAAATCTAAGCTGAATCTCATCCTTGTACCATGCTTTAAAACTAGATATCATTTTTTAATCTATCTGGATTTAATTAAATTACAAAAAGAAAAGATGTGCTAAAGTCTAACTTTCAGAAAAAACTATGTATTACATGTAAGAATTTAAGGTTGAGTAAGTTGTTCTCAGATACAGGGCATAACCTGTAGCCTAAAATCAACAAGTCTAAGAATGTAAGATAGCAATCATATTAGTTAAGATAATACCAAGTATGTGAGTACGTCAGTATGATACTTTCATTCTTGTAAGGTGAATATGCCTCATAATTTATGTAAAATATCGAGTGCAGTAATAAGCTGTGACTAGAGTTCCTGTAGCATGCCAAGATAGTGACACACACCTCACTAGGTGAGCGCGGGACCGTACGTAGCAGAGGTACGCAATTATGAGTCATCCAAGAAAGTGTGCCATCTTGAAGAGATGAGCAGATAATTTTAACAGGAGGCTTAGAATTCTTTTGAGAACGCATTAAGAAAAATTTTGTCGAGGAAGAAATATTCCGCCGTGCATGGTGAAATAAACCTCACATTAATTGTGACTGGAGGGTGGGATATTAGCAACACAAACTGGTTTAATAAGCAAATTTTTCACAGAAGACATAATCCCCAACACTTGAAAACATAGACTATGCAAATGACACCAAGTATCACCTCTTCAAGCCCTAGCTGCTACAGGTGACACCCCACCATCGCTTTAACCACAGGAAGTGAGTTATGCTTCCCCCTCCCGGAGGACTGCCTTCCTCCCCTCCCCCAGCCGGAAGTGAGGCGCCTCCATTCAATGGACCTCAAACCGAGACAAGCCGTTAACAATGGCAAAAGAGGGTGCAAGGCCGTCCACTGTAGCCATCCCAAAGCTCGCCTTGCTCACTGACCTGCTGACGATGGGGTTAGGCAGGAGCCTGGAGCTAAAGAAAGCCCCCTGCACCGAGGACAATTCTCTGAGCCTCTTTCAATCGCATTCACTCGTCCCGGCGTCTCACAGCTGGAGAAAAATTCCTCCGCAGTGCTTTATTACGATGTCCTTTCCTTCTGTTTGCCTTATCGTCTTAAACACCTTTCCACAGGCAACTTCCGTTATCGCAGTAACACTTAAGGTTGTTTCGGTGAGGAGAAAATGAAATATTATGCCAGACACCTTCAGAAAAATGAAGGGATTATTTTGTTCGAATGCGACGATGGCCAACGTGGTTACGCAAGGGAGCCTCACTTTCGCGGAGGATTCTGGGAGATGTAGTTTTTTAATTGCTACGGCCTGCGGGAAGCATTGGGGCTGGAATTATTAATAGCATTTACTGATGCTGGCGTCCTTGAAAACCTAAACTATGTACTCTGTCGCAGGCTGACCCAGCGGCTCTGGCACTGGCCCAATGCCTCAGGAACTTATTTTAACTGAAATGTCCCTCACCCCAGCCTCCGGAGCCAAACAGGGGCCCTCTAGACCTCATTTTATTGAGGCACGAACTTGAAAGAGGGACACGGTAACGCCTCCCGCGGGACTGAGGTGCCCACAGCGCGAGGAGGGCCCGTGCGCGCGCGTGCTCGCCTCCCCCCCCCCCCCCCCCCAGCACGTCTCCAAGTGCGCGCGGATGGGCGGCGCGCGGGGCGGCGTGGGGGCGGGCAGGCCGAGCGGCCGAGCGGACTCGGCGGGGCCGGTAGTTACTTGTTAGAGTCAGTGGCTTTGGTGGCGGAGGCGGCCGCGGTGACCAAGAAGGGGACGGGCCCACCGGCGGTGGTGGTCACCGCGGCAGCTTGTGCATGCCTCAGGTAATGGTGGCAGGGCTGCCCGCGTCCCCTCCGTCCTCTTCTCTGGCTCCAACTCGTGGGACCTGGGTCGCCGCTGGCGGGAGAGGCTAACCCGGGGGAATCCGGGCGGGGGGCGCGGCGTCTGGGGTAAGCCGCTCGGGGACTTCGGCTCAGGCCACCCCGGGGCCAGCCGGCACTGCCCTCCCCTTCCTCCTCCCCCCTTCCTCCTCATCCTTCTTCCCCCTCTCTCTCCCCTCCTCCTCCTCTTCCTCCTCCTTCTCCTCCCCCTCCTCCGGCATCCCGGGTAGCTCGGTGCTCCCCAGAGGAGGGAAAGTTGGCACTTGGCGCCAAAAGCCGCCCCGGGCGCGGCCGGGAGGCTGCCGGAGAAAGTGAAGGCTGCGGCAGGAAGAGCTCCTCCCGCTCCTGCTAAGTCTGCACAGATATTCCGCTCCAAATCCCGGAGCATCCGGTGCAGCCTCGCCTACAACAACAGGACTAAACCCGGGAGCTCTGTGCCTGTTCGCTTCGGGCTGAGGCTTGTGAGCCCCGTAACCTGCGGGTTAGTTCGGCTGTTTGGGGATTCTGTTGGTCATTTTTTTTTTCTCCTTTGCCTTTTGATTTATGCGTTTTTGCAACTTTCCTTACCTCCTGCCAGGAGGACTTGACGTCTGAACCCCCTTCTCTACTCCCCTCCCCCTTCCTATTTTGCACCACCCTGCTGAGAGCATGATTTTCTTTTTAGTCCTTTGGCGACATTAAAGACTGCCCAGAGCAACAGGAAAGAGGAGCCCTCCCACCTTTAAATGCTACTTTCTTGCAATCTGTTCTTATTTTTAAGATCCAAGTGTAGAAATTTGAGAGTTGTGGAATGGAGTTATTGGAAGGCTGGCTGGCGGTGAGTTAAAGGAAAATTAGATTTCATCTTTATTGGCCTTGCTGTAGAAAACCTATTTCAGTTTTCTTCTGCTTCTGTTTAAATGTAAGAGTAGACATTGAATTAAATCTTTGGAGACTTGTATAAAAGGCTATTTTTTAGGTCATTGGATGATGTATGTCAATAGCTTTTCTCCTAAATTGGGATTGCTTTGAGGATTCGTTTGGGGCCTACCTTCTAATTTTTGTTTAGCCCACGACGTCTTTTTTCCTGATGTCTGTTGTTGGAGAACACATATTGCTCTCTGCAGTGTGGGAATTATCCACAGGGTAAAACTTTCCATGAACAGTCTTAGATACCTGCTCCATGGTCGCTTCCCCTGTAATCTCAGGGAATTTCTAGATCGCACAATTCACTGATTACCTTAGTTACTTTCTGAAGTGCCCGGCACTGCTCTTTAGTGACTCATTTGGTAAACTAATGGCAGGTATGGTTAATTTTCTTGGCTTCAAATTTGGAGTTGTAGCCTTAGCCCAGAAATTAATGGAGGAAGGATGCATACCATTGCTGGTAAGTTCTGGCGATGACAAATGCACAAGCTATGTGAAAAAACAAACATCTTTCCATAACGGTCAGAGGGGAAAAGGAGGAAATATTTTATCATGTCTTTATTTTGGAAACTAACATGACTATATTAGGTGGGGGAAATGTTAGATTATTTTCTTTAAGGCTTTTAGATGTGTAGGTCTATCTCCTCCCCCCAATTTAGGGGTTAATATTTATGCGTGCCTGGGTTCCAGGGTGAGAAGAAAAGTGTTTTGATGAAAGGAAAAATTAAAGTTGCTTTGACCTATAATGATACTGTGGCTATTCATTTTATCTAGTGATAGTACAGAGAAACTTCCCTGATAATTCTTGTATGCCATTTAACATTCTGTTAAAATTCAGTGTTAAGTGTTCATCCTGAGAACTATAAAGAAATACAATGCCACTTCATAACTGTTTGTGACAATCACATTAATAAATTGTTCCTGGAGCCCTGGCCAGTATGGCTCAGTTGGTTGGAGCCTTGTCAGGTGCATAGGAAGGTTACCTGTTTGTTCCTCAGTAGGGGGAAATATCTCAGATTGATGTTTCTCTCCCCTCTCCCTCCTTTCCCCCCCCCCTGAAATCAATTTTAAAAAAGATAGTTCTTGGAATGTATTATATATGAACTCATATAAACAATTATCTTTATACATTTACAGTAATGTAAATATTTAAATCTGAGAGCTTAAAAACTTTTATTTACGTACATGTTTTTTAACATCTAGCAGTGCAAACCACATTTGCCAAATGAGCATCAGCTGTAAATTCATGCTCTGGCACATTACATATAATAACTCTTCTAAATGGCTCCATGGTAAAGCATCATGAGATTAGCATTTTTCATGAGAGATTTGTTGTTTTAACTCTTTTGTTGGATGGATTAAGTAATTTAGGAACCAAACTGTGGCTCCTGGCATGTCAAGTGTGAATTCTTGGCTCCTTATCACTGTAAGAGGCATGTGACTTTGACCAGCCATATTTTCTCATTAGAGACCCGGTGCACGAGATTTGTGCACTCAGGGGGGTCCCTTAGCCCAGCCTGTGGCCTTTTGCAGCTCAGGAGCCCTTGGGGGATGTCCCCAAGGGTCTAAGCTAGGGGTGTCGAACACATGTGGTCTAAGCCATCAGTGAGAAATTCTTAGCACTGCCTCAGAGGCTCCTGCCGCCACCATCACTGTGCTCCTCAGCTGTGAGCCTGGCTTCTGGCTCAGCAGCACTACCCCTGTGGGAGCGCACTGACCAACAGGGGGCAGTTCCTGCATTGAGAGTCTGCCCCCTGGTGGTCAGTGTGCATCATAGGGACTGGTTGTTCCACTGGTCGATTTGCATATTAGCCTTTTATTATATAGGATTGCTCTTTACTGTAATTCCTACTTACCACTGCCACCCCAATCCCTTCATTACTAGGAAAGTCTAGTAGGCTCCCTGGGTGGGTAGAGGTAGAGGAAAGGGGATACATGCAATAATGTCAACATTAAAAAAATTTTAATTGAAAAAATAAATAAAAAGAAAGTCTAGGCTCCTTCTTGCTGGTTTGTTTTCCTTGGATAAATTCTAGTAAATTTCAGGCCAGGAATAGATAGTTCACATTTGTTTGACAAATATTTTGAGTGTCTTTTAGTGATAGACATGGTGGTAGGCCCTGAGTATATGTAGAATGATGTCCCTTTTTGCAAGGAGCATACAATTTAGGACTATGGTTGGCAAATTGTGGCTCGCAAGACACATGCGGCTCTTTGGCCCCTTGAGTGTGGCTCTTTCACAAAATACTACGGCCTGGGCAAGTCTATTTTGAAGAAGTGGTGTTAGAAGAAGTTTAAGTTAAAAAAAATTGGCTCTCAAAAGAAATTTCAGTTGTTGTACTGTTGAAATTTGGCTCTGTTGACTAATGAGTTTGCCGACCACTGATTTAGGAGAAGATAGCTGGTAACCAATAATTACAACGTACTGTGTTATATGAGAGGGATATGCAGAATCTTATGGTTGGAAGTATAGAGGGAGAGGATAATTGACCAAAATTTGGGGTCTTGGGGGCAGGGGAATGTCCTGAAATACATCTTAGAGGGTTACTTAAGTTAATATTAAAAAATATATAGGCTCACCACCAAAGTGTCAAGTACATACCTTGGTTGCAGGTTACATCTGTGGCCTGGTCAAGGTATGTGCAGGAGGCTACCAGTTGATGTGTCTTTCTCGCTCTGATGTCTGTCTGTCTCTCTCTCCCCCTCTTTCTTTCCCTCTTCTTCTCTCACTCTCTCTCTCCTTCTCTCCCCCCCTCTTTTGCTCCCTTCCACTCTCTAAAAATCAGTGGGGAAAAATATCCTCTAGTGAGGATTAACAAACAAGAATGAAAGGAGTATCTAGGTTTAGAAAAAGGGAAAGGACATTTTAGATCATTGTTGTCCTATCTAATAATAAGGTAATATGCAAATTGGTCAGGACATCATCAGTAATCATTGATCAGTAGGTTGAGTGTGCAGCAGTGGCAGCAGCAGAGGTGTGATGGGGGCGTTGCCTTCCCCTGATCACCAGGTCGCCTCCTGCAGAGGGAGCAGCAGGGAGGGGGTGATGGGGGTGATGCCTTTCCCTGACCAGCCTGTCGCCTCCTGCAGAGGACATCCATCAGTAGGACATCCCCTGAGGGCTCCCAGACAGTGAGAAGGGGCAGGCCAAGCTAAGGGACACCCCCCCCCCCCCATGCCCCCAGTGCACAAATTCCGTGCCCTGGGCCTCTGGTAAAAATATAATAATGTAAAGTCACAAATATTTTAAAAAATATTTGAGTAACCATTTAAAAAGTAAAATGTGAAATTAATCTTAATAATATATTTTATTTAACCTGATATAGCCAAAATATTATCTTTTTTTAAGGAAGTATTGAGATATTTGATATTTTATTTTTAATCTAAATCCTCAGGATCTGGTATGTATTTTACATTTATACCACATCTCAGTTTGGGCTAGGCACATTCAAGTACCGAGCACTCAATAGCCACGTGTACGGAACAGTTTTAAAACAGGGGCTGATGAAGTGGTAAGAAACTAAATCACTGATGCCTTATGAACCAAACTAAGGAGCTTTAACTTTATTTCAAAGGCTGTGAAATTTATTGGGTGGAAATACAGTATAATGCTATGATAGAATCAGATTTGTGTTTTAGACCTATCATATTGGCTGTGAAGTGAATGATGGATTAGAGAAGAGCAAAACTGGAAGCAAGATTAGTTAGGAAGCCATTCCTGGTGAAAAATGATGAGGAATGT